CAAAGAGCAGGCAATTAGATGTCTAACTGCTAGCATTTGTATCTACAGTTAACTGCACCATACGTGCAGTTAAATGTAGATACAAATGCTAGCAGTTAGACATCTAATTGCCTGCTCTTTGGACACAATAAGGAAGTTGGAGGTCTAATGTCTGATATATGAAAATGCTAAACACACGTCTATGTAATATGAGTAGGGATGTGCTCTCCTGGGACATAGGGCCACCATTTCCTTCTCCACAGGCAGAAACAAGAAGGATCTACCTAGAGAATTATAGAAATGTGGTATTGGGAACTGTACCGTTAAGTGGCTTAGCCTCAAAGACAGGCAGCTTACAGGGAGCAGGGTGCCGCAGAACCCATGTTCTGTTATGCAGAGGCAATTGGGAACTGTGTCACTGAATACAGAGGATCTCTTTCAAACACTTTGGGTTCAGAGCAATTCCTGAACATCACATGGCCCCAGGAGTAAATAGAAATTAAAGAAAATAACCTGGGTGGAAGATTGGAGCAGTTAAAAGCTTCACCAGAGCTAAAACTCTCTGGGCACATGGAAGTCAATCAGAAGAGAATTAAGAAGCACTTCACTGTGCATCTGCAAGCAATGAAGGCCTGTGAAAAGCAAAATAGAATGTAGCCTTATTTCTGACAATAGCAGGTTGTGATGCACTTGATGCATTCAACGGTGTTCAGTTCAGGCACACGGGACCAGCTATGAAGGTGCAGTACAGAAATTTGAGGAGTTCTGCACTCCATGTAAAAATGAGACCTAGGGGAAAGATGTTTTTAACCTGAGGGTACAAAAAGAAAGTAAAACTATAAAGAGCTTGCAACTGAACTAACGCTGAAGAGACAATCTTGCAATTTTGGAGGCAGAAGCTCCCACCTAAGCCTCTAACAAAAGACCTGATTGTGGTTGACATCTGGAACAAAAAACTCAGAGAGAGAGAGAGAGACTACTGGGAAACGCAGAATTAAACCTTGACTAAGCAACTGGAATTTTGCAAGCAAAGGAAGTCACCCAGTCCAGAATGAGGATGGACAGTGCTCTGACACTGTGGACATGATGGAGAATCCAAAATACCACACTGTAATGTGGTGTTTCACCCCACACTTACCCTGAAGGTTTAGGGGGGAGGGATAGCTCAGTGGTTTGAGCATTGGCCTACTAAACCCAGAGTTGTGAGCTCAATCTTTGAGGGGGCCACTTAGGGATCTGGGGCAAAAATCAGTACTTGGTCCTGCTAGTGAAGGCAGGGGGCTGGACTCAATGACCTTTCAAGGTCCCTTTCAGTTCTAGGAGATAGGATATCTCCATTAATTTTTTTTTTTTTTAAATGGAGGCCAGATAGGCCAATTAACCTATTAGGTTTCAAGGTGAGGGAATTAAGGCTGAGAGGAAGGCCCTAGTTAGGGAAACATGACTTGTGCAGGAACAGGTGGGGCTTCCATATACCAGGGAACTGATAGCAGTAAAGGGCTGCAAGGAAGTAGTCTGCAGTCACTCCCTAGTGTTAGAGCAAAGGTCAACTATTTGCCTATTATCTCAGCTGTTACATTAGGAGCAACGGCTGCTTCTGCAAACCCTCGCTGCAGCCTTCTGTGCAGCAAGATTATGTGATAACACAAGGCGGCCAAACCACCAGCCTAGGTGAGACAAATAGGCACTGCTAACATATGCCTCAGAGTGGAGTGCGGGGGGGGAGGGGGGTGCTGTGGAAAGAGGTGATAAGTTCAAGCAAATGTTAAACTGCATCCTGTTATGTATCCATTCCTTTGCCTCTCTCAATCTGCATACAAGGCCTTTTGAAATGTTCCTTCCGCATACACGTACAAGGTACGCATGTTAAGTTGTTTGTTGCTAGGTATAAAAAGGTTCGCTCTGCGTTTGTAAGGGGCTCTCTCTCACTGGCATGAGCAGAGGAGAGCACCCACTCAGTTGACTGGTCAATAAAAACTCAGAGCCGTCTTCTAGACTCCCGTGCCTCCTTGGGGTAATTGGGCAGCTCCAGGGGGAAACGAGCCCATTTGGCTAACACTAGGAGAAGGGAGGTATGTTTGGAGCTATAGAGTCAAGTAACCTATAGCTACTCCCTGGAAGGTGGGGCTGGCAAACCCAGGGAAAGAGGAAAAGCCAGAAAATAAGGAAAGGCTCAGGGAACAGGCAGTAATGGAACAGTCCTTGGGTGCTGGCTAGAGGGTCCCTGGGCTGGAACCTGGAGCAGAGGGCAGGCCCAGGTTCCCTTACCAGCCACTGGGGAAATGGTATAAACCAGGCAGTGGAAAGCAGACTGCCTGGAACAGTTCGCTCTGGAAGAGTTTGATACCCTGGAAGGGGAAGACACATGTGACTTGAATGGAGGGCTAAGCAACGAAGACCAAGCATCTTGCCTCGCTGAGAGCAAGGAAGAGAAGGCAGGGTGCATGGCAAGAAGCAGAAAGGAGGCGTCAGACCTGGAATCAGCTAATCCCCAGAGTGGCCAGGAGGAGGCGCCACCTTTGGTGAGTGGACCCTGTGACACACACAAAAAGACACTTGAGGCAGAAAGGCACATGGCACTCAGAGTCAGAGTCCAGCAAAAACAGCAAATGGAGCTGCACACGCTGTGACAACCAGCACAAGCCAAAACAGTGCCCAGCATATGAGAAAAGATGCAGGAATTGCAATAGATCACATCATTTTGCAAGAGTTTGCAAATGGCAGCAGATGGTGCATTGTGTGGACAAGGAGGACATTGACAGCACCACTAGCTCAGCTGAATTCTTCCTAGGAGTAATGGACAACATTGCAGCACAAGTTTCTTGGCCTGCCAACCTGAAAGCAAATGGGACACTTATTAATTTTAAGTTAGATACTTTTGCACAAGCCATGTTGCCAGAAAGTGTTACTAGCACACACAAAAAAAGTCACAGGTATGAAAGATAAACAGGTAAAACACAGAAGTTCGCAGTGTTGTAGCCATGTCCAATCCAAGACATGAGAAATAAGATAGGTAAGGTAATATCTTTTATTGGACCTACTCCTGTTTGTGGAAGGGATAAACTTTTGAGCTTGTAAAACACAGGTCTTACAGTGGTGAACTGATCCTCACTAGCAGAATATACAAGCTTGATGTATGGGTAAATAAACTGGAAGAGATACAGCATGCAATATTACCAGGGGAAAAAAGAACCTGTTATTGGGTAAAAACATGTCAAAGCCTTGGTCCCATCAAGAGGGTGCACTCACTGGAGAGACGAGGGACCAAAACAATTAAGGCAGAGTTTGAGGATGCTTTCTAGGGGATAGGAAAGCTCTCAGCAGAGTACAGAATAGAACTGAAAGAGCCCAACCCATGCCACAATTCACACCTCTAGGAAACTTCTCATCACCCCACAGGCAGAGGCTAAAAAAGGAGCAGGGTAGGCTCATTGTTCTGGGGATTGTAGAGCCAGTAGGGGTCCCTGGAATGGGCACATTCATTGGTAAGGATAGAGAAAAAGATGGACCCCTTCGCTTATGTACAGACCCAAAATAATTGTAAAATATATGTGAAAAGGGAACATTTTCCACTACCTACAAAGGAAGACATTTTTGGAGAGATGGCTGTTGCCAAATATTCTTCTATGCTTGACGTGTCAGCAGAATTCTATCAGGTTCCCTTAGAAAAACAGAGCACATGATTGTGCAGTCAACACTCGCTTTGGCAGACACAATATCTGTAGAATGCTATTTGGTTTGTGTTTGATACCTGGAAAATACAACTTTTTAATGGTCTAGAGGGTACTAAGGTTTGCATACATGACATTTTGATCTGGGGGGGGAAAAGTTGGGGCAAGATCCATAAAGAGATTTAAACATCTAACCGCCACTTTAGGTGTCTAAATCCAAACTTTAGATCCTCCAAACCCCTGCTCAGATGTCACCTAAGCCTATAGGCTCCTAAATTCCCTAGGCACCTAAGTTTCTGCAAGTGAAATCACCTAGATGCCTACATTTCTGACAATGGACACTTGCAAAGCCACCCAAGTCCTGATGCCACTGAGCTGCTCAGCACCTAAACCCCAGTGGAATCATCAAAATGGGCATTCCTACATCTATCTGGCCTGCAAAGCCCAATCCAACAGGAGTTCTCAGAAATTACCTACTGCACAAAACTGAGAAGGATGTCCCTTTATATCCTATATCCTAATGGTTAGAGCACTCATTGGACTTAATTCAGGTCTCCCACCTCCCAGGAGAGTGCCCTAATGACTGGGCTATAGGGTATTCTGGGGTAGACCTGTCTCAATCTCGCCTGTTGAAGGTGTGTATAAAATACTTAAATATTAATTGGGCCAGGAAAAGAGTAACAATGACTCTATAGCCTAGTGGCTCAGTCACCCACCTGTGAGATCCGGGTTCCAATGATTAAGAATTTCATACAAAGAGAAACAGCTTCAACAGGACTGACACAGAGAGACCTACCTCAGACAACAGACAAGAAAGGGATACAATGATTCCTTGGAACAGTGAACAACATAGGGAAATTTGTCCTTAATCTATCTGACCAAGCCAGCAAACTGAGAACATTGTTGTGCATAGATGTTCAATGGACACGGGGTGCAAATCTTAATAAAGAGTTTGAGAAACTGAAGGCATTCATTAAAGAGGCCCCAGTCCTGAGGTAATAGAACACTAAGCACAAAACTAAGTTATCCGCAGACACCTCCAAGGAGAGTAAGAGTGCAGTCCTCCTACAGCAGTATGGTCAAAATTGGAGAGCAGTGGCTTGTGTGTCATGAGCACTTACAAAAACGGAGTATCAGTATAGAGAAAGAGGCTTTGACTTTAATCCATGAGTTTGAAACGTTTCATGTCTTTATTTATGGGACACAGGTGTTAACTGAAACTGATCATATACCACTTATTGCCATTACCAAAAGGGGCCTGGCAAACAACTCACTGAGAATACAGAGATTGCTTTTTTCAGCTACAAATGTCTGATTTGTAAATTAAGTACAAAACTGGGAGAGATTTGGTCTCTGCAGACATACACACTCTAGAGCATTTGACAAAAAATGCAGTGGAGCAAGTCCAGAGCTAGACATTGTATAGGTCAATCTGATTGGAAAAAAAACAACCCTGTGCAATCTCACATGAAATGTGGATTGTGATTGCCAGAGCTACTGCTCAGGATAAAACCCTACAGAAAATAATTAAGGCTATTGGAACAGAATGGCTAGGACAGCATGTTCCCAGCCCCTTTCACTGATTCAGGGGAAGTTTTCAGTCCTAGAGGGGATTAGTAAATGGTTACAGAAAAATCAGTTTAAAAGGATACATGATGGTCTTTTAATAATTGAAAAAATCTAAGAGAAGGGTGAGAGACAATTTATACTGGCCTCAAATGAACAGCAATATTGAGGAATCTGTCAAGGCTTGTTGCATATGCCAAAAATACAGGCCAAGTCAAGCAAAAGAGCCATGTTTTTAGCACAAGAAAAACTAGCCCCCTAGAGCACAGTAGGCATAGATTTGTTTATGTTGACTGGAAAAAACTATGTACTTGTCCTAGATTATTTCTCTCACTTCCCAGAGATAGCCTTACTGGAAGATACTACAGCTAAACAGGTGATTGTCAAATCTATTTTTGCTAGATATGGTATATCTAATATAGTAATGCCTGACAATGGGCTGCAGTTCAATGAGCATGAGTTTAAGTAATTTCCAGTGCAGTTTGGGTTTAGACATGTAACAACAAGTTCTCATTATCCCCAATCCAGTGGGTTGGTGGAAAATGATGGTAAAATAATAAAACAGCTACTGAAAAAGGCTGCAGAGTCAGACTCAGTACTTTGCACTGTTAAAACATGGTTTGTCACCTGCAAGGGGCACCCGAAAGCAAATGAAGATGTCTCTGCCTTAACTGTGTCACTTACCATTTGAGCTGTAATCATCTACCAGGACAATTTCTTTCAGCAAATGAGAAGGCGTTCGGTTAATTATACTGGTAATTGCACGTAAGATGATTGACATTGCCTCATTCATGAATATGAGAATGACACTAAGCGTTGGGAGGTCGTGGGGATATTTTTTCTCTTTACAGCTGTAAGAGAGTGAGAAGAATATTAGCAGGATTCCTGAAAAGACCCAATAGAGACCAGACTGTGCCTCCTTCTTCTAAATCCACAAGTCAACGCAGTATTTTCACTTTGTAAGCAAGCCTGGCAACTGACAATCTTCTCCCTCACAAAACAGAGCATTATCTGATGCCTCTATATCCTTGAAGCTGGCACCATGTAAGATGCTCACCTACAGTACAACAGAACGCCTTGTTCCTTATAGTGTTTACACATTCTTTGTTCCATTACTTTTTTGGAGAAAGATTTCAAGTGAAGGGAGCATCTTCATATTCAGGATTAAGCACAACTAGCACAAAGCGGGAAATAATTTGTTCTGAACACTGGCTACCCATTCAGAGTAATTCCATTTTACTTTAATTCTACATTTCTTCTTAAGTGATTGCACAAATCCCACTTAGGTATGCGTGCGCCAGATGGACTTGAGCGACAAGTTGGGATGGAGCACGGGCCCTACACTTCCTCATGCCTCCAACAAAGGGTCTCTTATAAGTAAGGCTTTAGTAGAACTAAAATAGGATTACATAAGCCCACACCCCCAGCTGGAGCCTGCAACCCCTCCTGCACCCCAACCCCCTGCCCCAGCCCTGAGCTCCCTCCCGCACCCAAACTCCCTGATGGAACCTGCACGCCGCATGCCCCCTGCACCCCAACCCACTGCTTCATCCTGGAGCCCCTCCCACACTCTGAACCCCTCGGCTGCACCCCCCATCCTGGAGCCCCCTCCCACACCGTGAACCCCTCATTTCTGGCCCAGCCCGAGCCCTCACCCCCTCCCACAAGCCAAGCCCCTGCCCCAGCCTGGTGAAAATGAGCGAGTGAGGGTGGGGGAGAGCCAGCAACAGAGGGAGGGGGGATAGAGGTGTGGGGTCTTGGAGAAGGGGCAGGGCAGGGGCAGGGCCTCAGGGAAGGGGCGGGGCAAGGGTGTTCAATTTTGTGCAATTAGAAAGTTGCCAATCCTAGTGTAGCTGCACATACCCTACATGCTGCCGCCAGCAGTGTGTAGTACAGGGATTGGCAACGTTTGGCATGCGGCCCACCCATTTGGCACGTAAGCCCCCTGGCGGGCCGGGCCGGTTTGTTTACCATCCGCGTCCACAGGTTCAGCCGATTGTGGCTCCCACTGGCCGCGGTTCACCGCTCCAGGCCAATGGGGGCTGCGGGAAGCGGCGCGGGCCGAGGGATGTGCTGGCCACCGTGAGCCAAACGTTGCCGGTCCCTGGTGTAGTATATACATAGCCTAAGATGTGCCCAGTGACACCTAGATCTTTTGCCTAACAAGTTGTAACCAGAGGCGCTGTAGTCTGTTGTGTCTAGATTTGAGCATCTTTGAGGGTGCTATAACCTCTTTCAGCACCTACTGATTTGGAGGAAGATTTTCAAAGGCCCAGTGGGCAGTCATGCAACCGACTCATATTGTGTCCATGAAAATCTCCCCTTTATCCTTTCTGTGTAATTTCATCATGTTCATTACATTTCTTAGTTCTGTCTCCAACTTGCTTTCTTTAAGTCTAATACCCCGTCACATCTTAAATTATCCTGCATCTTCTATATATGGCCCATAGTCTGTTCTCAGATATGCCAGTGCAAATTCAGATTAACTCTACTGGGCTCAAAATAGTTACTCCAGATTTGCACTGGTGTAACTGAAACAAGAATCTGGCCCTATCAATTTATACCATGCTCCTCAGGGACAGGGACTGGGATTTCCACTGTAGGCATTAGGTGTACATACTGTGACTTTAAGAGCAGAGCACATGTTAGAGAGAAGGGGATTGGGCTAGGAAGACCGGTTGGAAGCAGTCCAGAGTCAGCTTCACTAGATACACAACTAGGAGCACACTGCCGTCCTTTGGCTTATGTAATCCTATTTTAGTTCTACTAAAGCCTTACTTATAAGAGACCAGACTGTGCCTCCTTCTTCTAAATCCACAAGCCAACACTTTGTAAGCAAGCCTGGCAACTGACAATCTTCTCCCTCATAAAACAGAGCATTATCTGATGCCTCTATATCCTTGAAGCTGGCACCATGTAAGATGCTCACCTACAGTACAACAGAACGCCTCGTTCCTTATACTGTTTACACATGCTTTGTTCCATTACTTTTTTGGAGAAAGCTTTCAGTTGCTTGCTGTACCCACTACAGCTGGCACAATCTACTTCTCAGGATACAAATCTTTCCCAGCTGGCCAAAGTGGTGAAGTAAGAGAGTTATAATGAATGAGAAGGGTTGAGTGGGTAGCTGGAGGATTTCCTAACCAGATAAGAATGAATTTATCTTTTTTCCTCAGGTCCACATGACCAGTTTGCAGAGAGATTAATAGTTTCTTTTCTTTTTGCTGCTGTTCAGTATTGTTTTGTTTTGGCCCATTATTGAGGTAGGAACTGAGTGTCAATATTTTCATTCAGCTCTGAATCTGAACTCTCCCAAAGTTCAAGAGAGTTGGTTCTGAGTCATCTCTAAAACAGCCCTTTTGCAGCTTCAGGGACCTCTGGGGAGCAAATCAGAGGAGAGTCAGAATTGCTCAGATATTATGGTGAGGGGGGATACCTCCATAGATTGATAGAACTTATTCTGATCCCATTTACACTTGTGTAAATCAGGAGTAACACTGCTGAAGTCAATGAACGTACACTTAGAGCTGATCAAAAAATGGGAACATTTTTCACAAAACAGTTTGCAAATAATGTGTCCCTGGTTTTCATTAAAAAAAAAATCAAAATTTGTTGACCAGCTCTAGTTACAGTTGTAGAAGAGTGATGTTTATGACTGGAGCATCACGTCTATGAGCTTGAACAGTGCACTAGGGAAAGAGAGAAAGTACTCAAGAGGCTTGTAGCACACTGCCGCTGATAATATAAGCCCTGAATAACTGTTTTTTAGCCAGACTTTTGTCCTGGCTCCTTACATGTATTGCCACATGATCAGTCTCTCCGTCTTCATAAATCTCAGCTCCCAGCTCAACCTGCCATTTATCATAATACTTCCATAGGATACTGGGCTTACTGTCCTCTACCATTAATAATACCTAGGTAGTTACATAGACCTTTTTATCCACGCACATTACACAGATATGTATGTATCAATATTCCTGTTTTTTTTTTTTTTTTAGATGGAAAAAGTGAAGAACAGAATGGTTGAGTGACTTTCACAATGTCCCACAGTGAATCACTGGCATGGAATTCATGTCTCCTAACAGCCCCACAGTGACCTCTCCTTTTGACTACACTGTCTGCTATGTATAAACACAATACAGCTTCCTTGTCATTTCTAGCTTTCTTCTTCCTTGAGCAGGCCCTGTGCACAGGGGACAATTTCACTCTTGGAGCTCAAGTGGAGCTTAAATATAGCATAGAGTAGAAGGTCTTTTGAATGTTGCTTTTATTTTTCCCCTATGCTAGCATGTATCATTGGTAACAAGATCCTATTTTATTTAAAACTTCCCCATTATATCTTTTGCGTACGTCTCCTATAAACTCTGACCTCCTGACTTGCATTTTACCCTCTGCTCTTTGTAAAATACAGAAGGAAGAGAATGGGAAATAAACAACACATCAAACTAAATGCAGCACAAATCCAGATCTGCTCATGGATCCCTTATAACCTTCCATTCCAAATCAGCTTGGGGCCTTGAATAGCACCTCTTTACATTCATACATCTGCCTATGAATGTATACAGAGTTCATACTGCACCTGGGATATCTGGTGTCTGGAATAGGCCGATCCAGGGGCAGACGGTCACTGAGATAAACATTATACCCATATTTAGTGAATAGATCCTGGGCTGTGGTTTGTTGCTCTTCTGTTAAATCTGCACCCCAGCGCTTGAACAGATGTGAATCTGGAAACAGCTTTCTGTGCACAACCTTCTTTTCCATCTTGTCTTTCTCCTTTGCTTTCTCAGCCTGGTGCATTTCACCCTTTGACTCCTCTGGCAGCTTTATGTCATCTTCTTTCTGTTTCATTCTTTCATTATGAGAGGGCTTTTTCATGGAATTTGCTGCTTAAAAATAAAGTGTGTTTAGGGTCTAATGACAAGAGAGAATAATGTGTAATAAAGATAATGGGCCAGATTCTCCTCACACTGGTTTAAATCAGGAATAAATCAATGCAGTTACAATTAGCATGAAACTAGCATGAGAGGAGAATCAGTTTCTAGCTTCTTTATAAAAAGGAATCTGTAAAGGCAGGATTCCAAAAGTTAGTCTTAACAATGTCAATATATTGGTCACATTCTGCTCACTACAAAAAATAATTTTCCCTCTGTTGATACTCACCCCTTTTTGTCAACTGTTGGGAATGGGCCACATACACCCTAACTGAATTTGCCTCGTTAGCACTGACCCCCCACTTGGTAAGGCAACTCCCATCTTTTCATGTGCTATATATTTATACCTGCCTACTTTTTTTCCATGCATTTGATGAAGTGGGTTTTAGCCCAAGAAAGCTTATGCCCAAATAAATTTGTTAGTCTCTAAGGTGCCACAAGGACTCCTTGTTGTTTTTGCTGATACGGACTAACACAGCTACCCCCTGAAACCATTCTGCTCTCAGTTTCCCTGGTGTAAATAAAGAGAAACTCCACTGAAATCAATGGAGAGATGCAGAAAGAAAACCAGCGTACAAGTGGTATTAGAAACAGGACTCAAGGAGTTCAGTAGAGTTTGTGCTGATACACTGAAATAACTAAGATCAGCATCTGGCCTTATCTGAACAATGTTGCTTATGCGATATGGGCTATGAGAATAGTTCTAAGCATAAAGCACAAACGACCTCCCCACCCTATCCCCATTACATGGCTGCTTAATAATATCTCCCTTGCCTAGATAAATTTCTGGGGGAACTGGCAAATTAGGCTGTATCAAAAAGACAGGGGATTCACAGAAACTGTCTATAGGTATATATCTCAGGAATTTATATTTATTTTTGCACTTCGCTAAACAGGAGTGCCATCAGTGTGTGCAGGGTTGTTGTTACATATTAACTTTTTAATATTAACATTTTAACTTTATTTCTCCTGATGATTATTTTATTGGATTGTAAATTCCTGTATTTATTTCAAAAGGAAAATGTCCCTTAAAGACTCGTATGCCGCAGAGCCCTTGTAAGAGATATTTTGCCTTTTGATTTAGAATAACAAAAGCAGTGTCTTTTTCAAATACTGAACCGAACACACCTGTTACTTTTCATAGATATTAAAAGCAATTGGCATAGATATGCAAAGCAGCAGGTGCCCAGGTGAATTGGAGTCATACTCCGTCACTAAGGATGGTGTGGTCATTGGGCTGGGGTACTTATTACTAGAGCTGGAGAAGTAAACCCACATATTCTGAGCCACTTCTGGAGCTTCCTAAGAGACATTTGAAAGGGCTGCTTTCATCTCTGGCTGATCACTGTGCTGTATATCCCTGCTCTATATCCCCTTTCCCTGGTATTCACAAGCCTATCTAACGGCAGAGTAAGTCTAGACCAGGGGTTCTCACAACAAATGTTTTGGTGGCCTCAGAGTGCGGCTACCAACTCTTGCTGGTGGCCGCTCTGACAATTTTTCCTAAAATACGCAATTAACTTTAGGGAAAAACAGATAATTTATTTATGTAGTAGGAAGGCAGTGGAAAGTAGAGCTCCCCATTCAGCATACATGGACTTTGCTCCTATTGTTGTTCTCAGAGCATGTCACAGAGCGGGAGCCCCTCACCCTGTCAGGGAGCTACCAAGCACTGCAACAGCCCAGAGCTGTTAAGCTGTTGAGCAACTGTAAAGAGTGAGTGTGGCCCCATGTGGGGGAAACGCCAACCCATCTCTCTATCTCTGCCGCCCATGGACCTTGAGTGAAACCCGCCCCGGGGAAGGTGGGTTGGGAACTCACTGGCCACCTGCAGAATCCCAGACTCCCAGACTCCCCGTGCCATGGCCAGGCAGGAGTGGGGGAGCTGCCCTGGGGAACATCCCGGTGACCAAACGCCGCAGCCACTGACAAGAGTCGCCTCCGGCACTGCGCACACTGGCCCCAAGTGACTCCAGAGGTGCTGCCCAGAGCCCCCAAGGAGGCTGTGCATTCCGCAGGGCGCCGATCCCTGCTGGCCGCATTTGAGAAATGCTGCTCTAGACAACATGTTGATTCTAAAACCATGGCAGCTGGCAGTGCCTTGGCTACACTATCCCTCCCACCATTGCTACCAGTCTGGTGGAACAGAAAAGGCCTAACGATGATGGGGGGGAAAATCCTAATGACAGCACGGCCTGAAGGCCTGATACTGAAGCACTTATTTGGTTGATTTCAGTGGGACAACTCGCTTTAGTAAGGCTGCAAGACTACACGCATTTGTCACCAGGCCAGGTTTCTCCCTAGCTCCAAAGCCTGTGCTGCCACACCCAATCTTTCACACGGATGTTTATTTCCTTAATGGAGGTTATTAAACAAACAGTCTTCGCCAGGGCTGGCCCACGACATTTTGGCACCTGAGGCGGGGACTCAAATGACGCCCTCATACCCCCTCACTTGGGCCAAAACTTTGAAAGGTCTCAATTCTGCCTTCTTCCTCTTCTACTCCTCTCATGGTACTGCTCTGCTACCTACCCCAATAAAGGAGAACTAACAACTTAAAATGCCTTGTTCAAAAATTTTAAGTAACACTTAACTTTCAAACGCCTGAACAGCAAATGTAACTTTTCTTGTCCGCATTATAAACACTGGCATTTTTATCTGTTTGAATAATCAAAGTAGTGCTTTCCGTGCCTTCTTGGTTGCAAAGATTTGAACTGCTTCCTGAAGGGCCACAGTCTGGGCCAGCTCATGCTCTGTTGAGATGGTTGCAAGGCCGACCAGCCTCTCCTGTGTCATTGTGGAGCGTAGATGTGTTTTTATTAACTTCAGCTTGGAGAAGCTGAGTTCTCCACTGGCAACTGTTACAGGAAGTGTTAGAAGTATGCGCAGAGCAACAAAAGCATTTGGAAAGAGGGTGGTCATCTCATTTGTGCACATATATTTCAGAACAGCCTTTGGAGTGGATCCTGCTGAAATGTATCTTGAAAGGGCTTTCAGTTCATCACCTAAATCACTCGCATCAATATTGTGCATGTCATCATGTGTCAACACTGTCTCTAGTGCCCTGAACTGCTGGTGTAGGTCTTTTTCAGGTATAGTGAGGAGTTTGGGAATATCATACAACATCCCAAATATACTGCTGTGTTCCTTGAGCTGCATGAAAAGTTCTTCAACTGACTGTATTGCACAATCTAGCACCTGGTTAAAGAATTCAACTTTGAATTGTTTGGGGTCTCTTATGGGATTATCCTGTGCCTCATAATCAAAATGTCTTTTTCTTCGGTGACTCTTGTATTCTTGAATAGGTGGGAAAATAGCTTCAGGGTGAAGTTCCTCTGCCAACTTCTGTGCACTCTTCAGAACGTTTTGAAATCCCTCATCTGACCAGTAAGACTGTAGGTATGACTTTGCTTTGTCCAGTTGTTCCATTGCTCCAGATATATCAAGGTCAACACCTTGGAGTCTCTTGCTTACAACATTTATTTCAAACAGTATGTCATGCCACAACACTAAGCCATACAGAAATTTGAAGTTATGTACGTTTCTGGTGATTCCATTTCCCTGTGCCACTATTCTCCCACAAACTGTTCCTGTCATAGCATTATCCTCCAGTATGGCAACTATGGCATCAGCTATCTTCCCAATTTGGCATTTGATAGGCTTTATCGCCTCCACTCAACTTTACCATCGTGTGACACTCAGTGGTTTCAGTGTCAGAGAGGATGTTCCCAGATGTTGCTTCAAAATTTGCCATCGATGAGTTGATGCAGAGAAAAATACATAGATGCTTTGAATTACATTAAAAAATTCAGCAGCCTCACTAGAAGCTGATGCTGCATCACTGACCACCAAGTTCAATGAATAAGAACTGCATGGGACAAAAAAAGCTTGAGGGTTTAACTCTCGGATCCATGTCTGCACTCCTCTGTTCTTTCCTCTCATGTTGGCACCATTATCGTAGCCCTCACCTCTCATGTCAGCTATCACAATTCCCATATCTTCCAGCTTTTTAAGAAGCACATTTGTCATACCAGCTCCTATAGTATCATCAATGTCAATAAATTCTAGAAAATGCTCTCTGACAGTCACCATTGCAGGGACATTTTCACTAGGTTCTGTTGTTGTTACAAAACGCACCATTAAAATCATTTGTTCCATATGGCTGATGTCAGGTGTGCAGTCCAGAATAACAGAGTAATATCTTGCTGACTTCAGATCTGCCACAATCTTCTGTTTGACTTTTGTTGCCAGTAACTGTATGATCTCATTTTGAATTGTTTTTCCAAGGTAGTGGTGTGTGTACATTTCTTACGTGGTGACTCTTCTTAGATGCTCCTGGAGTACAGCATCAAACTCAGCCATCAGCTCCACAATTTTAAGGATGTTTCCATTGTTTGGCACATACAGCTGATCTGAAGTGCCACGCAGTGCTAGGTTTTGGGTAGCAAGCATTCTCACAATGGCAATAAGCCTTTTCAGAACACTTTGCCAGTAAAGAGACTCTGATGCAATCTTCTCTTGGTGCTGATCATCTATGGGGGCCTTAAACCTTAGTCTCATCTCTAGCTCTTTCCACCTATGGAATGCTCTCTGGTGATTTGCTGCCTTCTCATGGCATGCCAGATTTCTAGCCAGATTTTTCCAGTCCTTTGTTCCTGTAGAACCCAATGTGGCTGGAACATTAGACTGGAAGCGTTTGCAACAAAAACAGTATACAGCATTCTGGGTTTTTGAGTACATAAGCCATGGCCTCTCCACTTTGTCACCATTGGGGATTTCACGCCAGAAATGTGTTGGATGGAAACTTCTATTTTCATTGTCTTTGGGGAACATGAAGTTTTTCACTTGCTGTGACCCATTCAGTACAAGGAAGTCCCTCAGGCTACTGCTCAAGTAGATCCACAGTCCTGGATCATCTAGACTTAAGGAACTAAACTCAGCAGCAGCTGTTTCTTGCGCCTCCACCACACTCTTCTCTGATCTACACTTTTCTTCAGGAATGTGCATGGTTACATCCATTTGAGATGGAGATATGGATGCTGCAGTAGCTGTCAGGTCACCTGCACTCTGACTAACTGGAAGATCAGACAGCTCCTCACCACTCACGTCCTCACTAGGGCCAGAAGGCTCACCTTGAACATTTGTGTCTATGTATCTCAGGAGAGCTCCTTCCTGCTTAGATAGAAAAGCTTCCTTTGCTTTCTTTCTTTTTCTGAATGCTGCCCCAGAGGTGCGTTTTCTTCTTTCACTCACGACTGCTGTTCTGTGCCAGCTATAGTGGCTCTCAACACTCAATTGAAGGGGACAAATAAGCAGGCTGATAGCGGGGCCTGAGTGAGGGAAGATATCAGTGTGTTCTGGCTCCTACTACTTCAGTTGACTGCCTGTTCTCCTCAAGTGGGTTCAGGGAAGCAGCAGGAAACAGGAAGCTCCCTGAGAAGCTGGTGTTAATCAGCCCAGGCTTCTGGGGGTGCTAGAGAGGTACATAAGAGGCTCCTCCTCCTCTCTCTCCCTGCAGATCCTGCTGCTTTCTGTTATTCCCTCTCACCTTTTCTCCTGCCTGCCTGTTATGTCTCTTGTGCCCTCCTTCCTCCAGCACAGCACTCCGCCATCTCTGTGCATCTAGAGCAGAGAGAATACATATGCACCAGCAGCAGACACAATTTTCTACACTCTGGGTCCTAGTGGTGCCTCCCCCCACACACACAGTCTGGCACCTGAGGCGGCCGCCTCAGTTCGCCTCAGGGTAAGGCTAGCCCTGGTCTTCACTCATTTCTTAGCCTCTAGCTTCAGGTCCAGTGGTCTCTGGCACTCTTGCTCCTTGGCAGCTTCCCAGTTTCAGTCAGCTCTGCTCCCTGCTTGGAGCAACACAGCCCCAGGGCTGCTTCCCTGAGCCCTTGGCCCCTTGCAGGGACCCACCACAAAAGCTAGCTCCACTCCAGAGTGGGTTTCTTTCCCCAGGGCACAGCCTGTCTTCATCCCTCTCCCAACAGCCCTTTATAGCAGCCCAGCTCTCTTTAATTGGCTGGATTGGATTCACCTGCTCTGGTTCAGGGGC